TGTGCACTCAGAAAACATTATATCAGAAGTTTAAACTAATATGGCTTTAAAAATGATAATCAAAACCAAACAGATGTTTTTTTTATCAGAGTATCTGAGGTATGAGCTGTTAAGGCACAGCCCTATTCTGCAAAAGGGGGCTGGGAGCAGCAGCTCATTTGCATAGAGACATACACAGAAACAGCGTGTTTTTGTTTCCACTCAAAATAGGCATTTTCAAAATGATAGAATAAATTATCTGTGGGGTATTTTGAACTGAAACTTCATAGTCATTACGGGGACACCTGAGACTTATATTACATATTGTAAAAAGGGGCATAATAAGTCTCCTTTAAATCACCCATCATTGATTCATTTATTGATTGCCAATATTTAAACTAAGACTATGGCGTACAGACAGTAACAAATTGGCTTCAAACCATGAAAATAATAACATGAGGACACAATGTAAGGATGTGTGTATCATGATACTCTTTGTGCTCATCCAGGGTAATCAGAGTGGGGAAATGGAGTTGACATACAGCGGAGATCCAATCACACAGCAGCCCTTGACAACACGCTGTGCGTTATTACAGCATCAGCTGCTGTTGCCATGACATCCATGGCATGGAGCTGATCAGCAAACAGATTACTGGCCCATTTGAGAAAAAAACCGCATCCCGCATGGACTGGGTCAAACTCATTAGCAGCTCAAATGGATGGGGAAAATCTAATTGTTCATGCTCTTTGTCTTTTTTTTTTCAAAACAGTATGGAAATTACTTGTAAAACTAACTATATCAATACATTTTCTGAGGGTCTGCCTGTGGAAAACCCGCCACCATGATGCTAGGGGTTGTGGGAGATTGCCAGGATATTGCTATGCATTTGCAAACATGTCAGAGCATCTTAAACATGTCACTGAGGTGGTTTCTGACTGATCCAATTCAAAAGAGCCCAGGTCTCTACATAACAGATATTCAGGCCTATGAAAATTAATTGTTGCCTCTTCAGTGTAAGTCTACGGGGTTTATTTGCCCAAATTATTATCTTCCAAAAGAAAAATGAAGCTTAAGAAATTAAGCTAAAACTAATAACTAAAACGATTAAAAAGCATTTTTGCTGAAATGAAATAAAACATAAATATTAGATGCAATACTTAAAAACATCAGCTAACTGAAATAAGTTGAAGTACTAAAATAAAAAATATGTAGAAATATTTGATAACACTTTACGTAATGCTTTACTTAAAGTAAAATGCATCATAAAAGTATTCATACTGTATGTTGTAATGCATTATATCTTTCCATAAATAATTGTAACCAAAGTTCAAATGCATTATAATTTTTGGAGATTTGTCTGATGTGTTTTAATTCGTTATACTTTCTAAAGTTGTAACAATGAATAGATAAGTATTATAATGCATTACGACTGTGGTTACAATCATTCAATGCATTGTAAGGTGTATTACCAGGCATAATTATTGCATTAAAACTAATTTCATAATGCATTATATATAAAGGCTTTAAGTAAATTGTTAATATTTTATATTATATATATTATATCAAACATAGTATAGTATATTACATATTATTTATATATATATATATATATATATATATATATAATATGTAATATGTATGTATATATATATATATATATATATATATCAGCTAACCAATCACAGCACACACTGCCCCACATAACCAATCACAACAGCTAACCAATCACAGCACACACTGGCCCAGCTAACCAATCACAACACACACTGGCCCAGCTAATTTTTTATTTCTGAAGGACACAAAGATTTCTGAAGGATCATGTGACACTGAAGACTGGAGTAATGATGCTGAAAATTCAGCTTTATCATCACAGGAATAAATTACATTTTAACATGTAATCAAATAGAAATTAGCTCTTTTTAATTGTAATAATATTTCACAATATTATATTACAATATTTACTCTATTTCTGATCAAATAAATGCTGCCTTGGTGAACATAAGAGACCAATAAGATCCCAATCTTTTGAACGGTAGTGTATTAAAAAGAAAAGAAAAAATAACTGAAATGATGCAATCAGTTGACACTGGGTCTCACATACACACCTGGTCATGTGTTTCTGGGGAAGTGCGATTGCGTATTCAGCCACCACGGTCTTGCCAGCTGAGGTGTGAGCCGCGACAAAGACAGAGTCACGAGCTTCGAGCCGGAGAATAGCCTGCTTCTGAAACGCGTCCAGCTCGAAGGGATACTGAGCGTAGAGAGAGAAAAAAACCCAACCCAAACTCACCCCAAAACCACGTGCAAAACAGCAGCTTTGCACTTAAACACTGAACCTTGCGGGTTCTTCTTTTGCTCACTCAGACGTACTGTGTTCACTGAAGGCTGAGAAGGAGAGTTGCCTGAATCCTGAGGAGTACATGTGGTTAAGAAAAACGACAAAACAAATACAAATGTTGGGCAAATAAACAAATGAGAATGCTTTCTAAAAGTTATCCACACTTTAATTCCCAGCTCCTCCAGGCTGTTAGTTCTGGGGAGTTTAACAGTCTCCTCTTTTCGTGAGACTCCCTCTTTCTCCTCTGGCAGAGCGTCAATGATATCATCAAAGGTCGACAGGAGGGACAGCAGGTTCACCTCACTCTTCGTGGCTTTGGCTTCTAAAGTCCATTCAAAAACGATAATCCTGTCGTCATTTACTCATCCTCATTTCGCTCCAAACTTGTATGATTTTCTTTCTTCAGCAAAAGTACTCATTTAGAAATAGTTTTTTGTCCAACCAATACAAGTCAATGGTCACCAACATTCTTTAAAATATCTTCTTATGTGTTCTGCAGAAGATAGTAAGTCATGCATGTTTGGAAGGACACGAGGGTGAGTAAATGATGACAGATTATCAATCGTAGCGTTAGTTCTGGCAGGTCACGTTAGTCAAGTTCGCATCAGCTGACCTTCAGCTGATCCCCATCTACCTATGGGAATACGACACCTATCTAAGCATTCATATATAAGGTCCCTCAGTATTATCAGCAGTTTTCGCATTGCTCAATAGCTAATTACCCTCCTCCATCCCCAACTCCTCCTCTGTCAGTCGGGATTCAGCCTTCTGATTCTCCTTGAATCAGACTAATTCTAAAATGTGTACAGAAAATGATTGAACTTTAACAATATCTGCAATACATTTGTTAGCTCTGTTCTGTTTACCCTGGGGGGGTTATTGCTGCTCTCCCTGCTCTCATCCATGCTAGGTTGCATGGAGGCGCAGGGAGTTCTTGCCCAGAACAGAACCATACCGCCAGTCCAAACTGTATGCTAATTGTCAATCATCTTTGACGATAGTGGTCCTGGCAGAAGTTTCTTTTAGGATGATAATGCACAACTTAAAGTGGGATGATGACGTGATATACAGTCAAACCACAATGTATTCAGACACAAGAGCTCAGAGTTAATCTGTGTCAGAAGAAATTCATCTTGATATTGTCAGATAACTTTGATAGGAATTTATGTAATGGATTACAATCAACCAAAAATTATTCAGCTGTTAAATTTAAGTACACAATTAGATAATACCAATTTAGGTCAACCAGTTACCAAGCAATGCTTAATTTTGTTCAGTCTGTGGTGTAAAAAGGTCGCATTAGCAATTAAAGAAAAAACACTTAAGCATGGTCAGGTCAAAGTGTCTGAAAATGTTTGATCCTAAATTTTACTGTATGAAGTTCTCTTTATTTTGCTATCCTCACTTACATTTATGAACTATGTAGGGTGTCCTGCACCCACTAGTAAAAATATATTTCAAATTATATCTGAATCATTTTTGGTTTGACTGCACATGCAGAGAGCAATAACGAAACCTGACCTTTGTCACTGAAGTCCACACCAGCCTTCAGCCCAGGAGGAACCGTCAACAAATCTAAGGCAAGAAACAAATAATCACGGTTTCTTTTTCTCTCTCACACACTCACAAAGTATCATTCACTGACAGAACAAAACAGACCACCAACCTTTCTCAAAGTCAATGTCTTCTTCTCCTCTGACTTTTTCTTAATCTGTTCTAACGTCAGTTCTTCCATTCCAGCTGTACGAGGACAGCAGAGTTTAAAAACGGGATCATTTTGAAACACAGTTATGAGAAATGTATCTAAATACTGAACCTGGCAGGAATGGATAGTTTGTGTTACTCCCTCTCAGGCTCTCTGATGGGGGTCCAGGCTGTCTTTGCAATGAGAGAGAATTTTTGGCAGACAATCCTGTATCTTCTAATAACACCTGATGTAAGAAAAAACAACGTTATATTCGTTATAAAAATGACATTATATTTTAAAGAACATTTACTGTGGTTTCCTTGTCCACATTTTTTTTTTTATTAAAATCTACACACAGAAGAAAACAGCAGATCATCAGTACCGCTGCAACTACAATGACTAAAATCTGGGGTGACACCAAAATACTCATAAAACCTATTGATTCATGACTGTCAGGTGTAGTTTGGCAATATAGTTGCTGAGCTGGCTGTCATATGAGCGAATTATGACACAGATCAACTCAATCCTGAACTGGCGGCTCAGGTAAACACGCAGAATTACAAATCCCAAATAAAATAAACTACTTTTATATTTCTCATACCTATTTTGTCCATTTCACTCCGCAGTTCTGCAGGAAGCTGTGCAGAACTAAAGGGACGGAAGTTTTAAAATGTTTTTGTTTCGTTTAATATTTTACAGCATGTTATATGTGTGTGATCTAAAATAAATGTACGTTTTGAATATATTTTGAAATGTAATTTATTCCTGTGATCAAAGCTGAATTTTCAGCACCATTACTCCAGGCTTCAGTGTCACGTGATCCTTCAGAAATCAGTATAATATGCTGATTTTGTTTCTGTAACACAATAACACATTTTTCACAATAGTACTGTTTCTACTTTAATTTGCAGCTTTTAAAAACATTAAAAATTTTGATCGGTTGTGTCAAAAGTGTGAATGCATGTTATATGTAAATAGGTCTGTTGAGCGTATTAAATATTGTCAGTAGACTTGACTTTACACCATGTTGTTTCTTCTTGCTGTAGTCTGCTAAACGAATCCACAGGAAATCCCTGTATGAGAGGTGAGACTGTCGGACTCGGTGTAAAAAAATATTAATCATAATCTTATACCTACGTAGAAACAGTATTGCAGTCAAATTTAAAGCGGTTTTCTTTTTCCTATAGTTTTGTTCCTGGAGATCGATCTCGTGATGATGAGGGAGGAATGCCGAGTCGAGATTCAGAGCGCGATCGGGAAAGAGAGGCGGACTGGGAGAGAGATCGAGAAAGAGACAGAGAGAGGGACAAAGAGAGGGACCGTGAAAGAGGCAGGGAGAGAGAACGGGAACGTGAACGGGACAGGAGCCGGGATAGAGAAAGGGACAGAGACAAGGACAAAGAGCGAGAGCGAGACAGAGAGCGAGAAGGACCCTACAGACGTAAGTGAATCTGTGCAAAAATATATCGCTTCCCAGTCTTCATATTGTGTCTCTACAGTGTTTGTAAAGAGAATACTGAGAATATTTCATGCATTTGCCTTTTCTAATAGTTACTGATAATAAGTGTTGTTCTGTAGAAAATCTGAATGTTTAATAATCGTCTCTAATGTTGTTCAGGGTCAGACTCGTATCCAGAGCGCAGAGGTGTGCGCAAAGGAAACACTGTGTATGTATACGGCACAGGTTTAGTGGAAGACAGTTTGCGCTCGGCCTTTGCACAGCATGGAAACATCATCGACCTTTCGATGGACTCACCACGCAAGTAAGATTGTTTTCTGATTCTTTTGGGCATTTAGAAAGGATTTTATGCTCAAGAAACCTTTCTCATTATTATCCATGTTGAAAACAGGTGTGCTGCTTCATATTTGATATATTTTATTTCAAAATATGAATCTTTTGTAACATTGTAAATGTCTTTACTGTCACTTTTGATCAATTTAAATAAAAGTGATCTTTAATCTTGGTTCCTTCTTTTGAACTGAGAAATGTCTGAGAAAACATAAAATATTTAACCCATTTTTGCCCTCTGTCTCTTACTAGCTGTGCCTTTGTCACCTTTGAGAAGATTGAATCAGCAGACCAGGCTGTGGCAGAGGTCAGTAGTCCATTTAAGGAGCCACTTTCCACACTTTTGTATTGTCATATTTTCATACTTTATACTTCCTCTCTATACCTTTAAGAATTCCATATATAAATGACCTCAGTTCACTTCACATGAAATTGTCATTTGCATATCTATCTATCTATCTATCTATCTATCTATATAAAATCATAAGTGATGACAAAAGTACTAGTCGTAGTCCATAATTATTTTAGTAATCCATACTTGACTCTATATTTGTCTTATACAAGGTCATAGCAGCAGAATAATTTGTCTATCCAAACTGCGTCCTTGCACAATATTAACTTGTACAATGAAAGGATTTATGCTAAAAATGAGAATAAAGTAAAACTTTTTTTGCATTTTGCATTTACAAAGTACATCAGTGTTATTTAAGTATTATTTAGATACCAATATTGTATTTATTAATATTTTATGTTTTCATTTTAGTTTAAGATTTAGAAATGTTATGTGCTTTTGCCATTTTAATTAGTTTTGTTTTTAATATTTGATTTCAGTTTTAGTAATTCTAGTACTTCAACTTGCACTTATTTCAGTTTAAGTTTTTTGTTATTTCAGCTACCAAAAACTATTATAGAGAGTTCTGGTACACTAAAAGCCAACCACACAAGTGATCAGAGGACCCACCGACTACTTTTATGGACAGTCATGCAAGCTCTAGTGGTCACGTGTTAATGAGCTCATGGCTCTGACATCAATACCATGTCGATTTCTGATGTTTTGCAGCTTTGCATCCATAAATAGTATGTTGTGGATTGTAGAGTTTTTGTACTGTGTATATTCAAGCTTGTCTGCATTGCATGTTAACACTCCAGCATTACACATGCACAAGAAAAATCAGTTTTCTGTGATAGAACCCTGTGTCAGTATTTAACAAATCTTTATTTACTGTAAGAGAACCCTGTTTTTAAACTATTTCTGTCTCTCAGCTGAATGGCACTAGTGTGGGTGACGTCAACATCAAAGTCAGCATTGCCAGGAAGCAGCCCATGCTTGATGCTGCCACAGGGAAATCTGTCTGGGCTTCTCTTGGTAAATAAAGACATTTCACAGGGGAAAAAACTGTCAAGCAGAGGCTGAGTGTCGCACACTTGACTAACCCATTTTTATTTCTGTCTTCTTTTCTTGCTCCTGCTTTTTTCGTCCTTCACAGCTGTGCAGAACAGTGCCAAGGGCTCGTACAGAGACAAACGGAGCCAGGTCGTCTACACTGAAGATTTTTGAAAACCGTTATTTAGCATATGTTAAACTTGTAAAAAGGTCCAGCAGTAGATTTTGTCGACATACAGCAGACACTTTGTTTTTCAAAGACGTGATGAAGTAAATCTGTTACTTTTCTGTCATTTAATTAGCAGCGTTTACTGCTCAGTGTTTCTGGACATTTAGCTCAGTCATGGATTATGACATTGTGTTCAATAAATAATCAATAAACTTTTCCATCAGCATGCCTGTGTTGACTTCATAATATGGGCTAACTAAACAACCATCACCTCAATGAAACATCTATACAGTACATCTTCAGAGATGGACAGGCAGAAACTATAAGCCTGTTGAGTTTTTACCTGTGACATCAAGCAAATCTGAGCTTTGTGTATGAATAATAACTGATATACTACAGACCTCTGCTGTGTGGAACAAGCTTTCCCCCGCAACAATTCACAACTTTAGATGGTATTGATGAAATGAGCTCTAGTTCAAACCTTCCAGTGCTCTTTTTGCCTAAAGGGAAACAGAATACTGAGAACACAAATACAGAGGCATGCACTGTTATATAAACTATCTGCATACTAAAGAGTAATATATCAGATTTAATGGGATTTTTTGAATTTTCTGTTATTTTTTTCTCCCATGAGATATACAACATTACTCATGAATGTGAATGAATATGTGATAAAATATCAAAACAAACATTGCACAACTGCAACACTCAATGTTTCAGCATTAAGAAACTAGTTACAAGAGCCAATGGTTTTTCTCCCATGAGATATACAACATTACTCATGAATGTGAATGAATATGTGATAAAATATCAAAAACAAACATTGCACAACTGCAACACTCAATGTTTCAGCATTAAGAAACTAGTTACAAGAGCCAATGCGTAAATAAATGTGTCTTATATGGACAAGGGGCATAAGAATTAGTCTGACAAGTAATAATAGCGTAAAATACAAGTAAATAGTGATTTCAGGCTGACGTTGGAGATTCTGCTCTTTCCCAGTTGCTCATTCAAGTACGTAAAAGCTGTGACTACAAAAAGCTGCCTATGTGTCTCAGTGCAAGTCAGTGGTTAGATTAGGATTTGTGCAAAGCTATACAGATACATAGTGGAATACTTCGTGGAAGGGTGGAAACCATGCTTGACATGCTTAGTCTAGCTGATTATAAAGAATGCATAGGTGGATTCAGTAAAACAATAGGTAGGAAGAGTTGCCCGAAGGTTCTGGGTGGAAGAGAGGAGATACCCCAGCTGGTGAAAGATGAAGCAGATGAGCAAGAGGAGGAGAGTCTGAAGATATGATGAGATATGCGAATAAGGGGTAGGTCAGCAGTATTTAGGGGATCAGTGAGAATGCAAGAGTGGAGGAAAAGGAAGGAGCACAAGAGGGCGTTGTTTAGTTTGCAAGACATCTACTGGAAGAAAAAGGGAGTGGTGACCTATGGAGGGTGATGGCTTTATATCTAAGGAACAGGAATCCACTAACATCACTCATTTTCAAATATTGAATTTTTTGGAGAAGAATTTCTTTTCAGTGATAGCAAGAAGAATATCTGGTTAGGAGGTCTGGAGGTGGGTACTTAGACACAAGCTACCAGAAGGCAGTTGTCACAGGATTTCCTGGGTGTGTAGAGCATGCATTGATGATATGGGTCAAGAAAGACCTCTTCTGGCTAGACTTGGCAAATGCCTATGGGTCAGTTTCACACCAGCCTGTTGGCTTTTCACTAGAGTTGTTTTATGAACTTGTTTAGACTGTATTAGGAGCTTGGTCTTCAACCCTACTTCTGGGGACCCACTGTCCTGCAAAGTTTATTTCCAACCTGCTTCAGCTCACCTGGCCTGTGACTTTTCAAGTGATCCCGAAGACCCTGATATCTTTCATTGTGGAGGGGAAAAGAATCCAAGTGCTGGTAGAGCAGCCAACTCAAAGCTAAGAGAGACTATAGAGCAGTGACTGAAGTAACTACGATGAAAGAAGAAGGGTATCTTGATTAGAGTGGTAAACAGAAAGAATGTTGGAGGTTACATCTGACAAAGCTCTAAGGCGGGTGAACGTGTGGTAGGTGCCTCAGGCTAGGTTAAGATTTTTAATAAGATCTGGCGGACTGATTGCAAGATTGCCTTGGTGCAGGGATGGTGTAGATGGTGATATAATCAGGTTCTGCGTTAGTTGGCAGACATCCTTAAGATGTATATAAAGGCAAACAAAAGCCCCCCTGCCCCACAAAGGCAGTTCATAGAATTTGTGAAAATGGGAGGGCTTTGTCAAGTCTTGCCCAGAGGGAACCGAATAGAACCAAAAATAATTGTTGAATAAAGTCACACAAAAAGTATTCTCGTAGCTCCATAAAAGTATGATTGAACCACTGATGTCACATGGACTATTTTAACAATGTCCTTACTACCTTTCTGGGCCTTGAACATCTATGCAGGGTCAGAAAGCTCTCGTATTTCATCAAAAATATCTTAATTTGTGTTCCGAAGATGAACGAAGGTCTTACGGGTTTGGAACGACACAAGGGTGAGTAATTAATGACAAAATTTTCATTTTTGGGTGAACTATCCCTTTAATGGGGCAAAATATGTAAGAAAGACCGCAGCTGGACCGAAGGCACTGACTGAGATGCAGCATGCAGTAATTCCCAACAGGTACCTGTATATGTAACAGTGGAGTCACTATTGTTTGGACCCTATTGATTTTTATTGTATGGATAAAAACAGTTAATTATTTTGTGTTCAACAGAAGAAAGTCAGAGGAGAAAGTCACAGGTTTGACACAACATTAGGGTGAATAAATCTAGATAGAATTAACATTTTTAGGCAAACTATTTAACTGAATAATCAGTCATTCATTCACTCCAGGCTTTAGAGGTCAAACGCATAGTAATCACTTATCGATTTCAAAGACATTTTCATGGCTGTGCAAAATAAAAATAGAAAAGTGTATAATGAAAAAATATAATTTTCATTATAACACCTACTTTACCTATTCAAATATGATTTAAACCCTAGCCCAACACCACCCTCATTGTTTCGCTGCACCTCCATGTGGTTTTGGGGCATGGTCTTTCCGTGTTGCTCCATCAGGTGACGGCGCAGAGCAGACTTGTGGGCAAAGCTGACGTGGCAGTATGCACACACATACGGCCGTTCCCCACTGTGCACATTCATGTGGTCGCACAATGTTGACTTTTGAGTGAAGGTCTTGTGGCACAGGGGGCAGCAGTGGAGCTTGGATACTCCACGGTGGACGATCATGTGGCGATTGAGGATATTAAAGTGGCTGAAGTGTTTCCCGCAGCACGGACACACGTACAGCCGGTGTGTTGACAGGGAATGCATGGCTAAATCCTGCGTTGAGGAAAACGCTAATCCGCATTGCTCACACACCACTGGTCCAGCTACGCAGGACGTGGATCCCACCACTGCCACAGACTCATCAGCAGCTCTGTGTTCATTTGTATGTGTCCTAACTCCCATTCCTTCTTCCCCACTGGAAGTTTCCACACCAAAGTGTGCAAGACCTCCATCAGAGCCAATCTCTTCTCCTTGTCCCTCTCCAGGCCTGTACTCAACAAAGACAGAACCATCTGTGAGATTCTGATTGGCCTGAAAGTCTGCTCCAAAATTACTCATTGTCTCATCTGGCGTCGGAAGGTGCTCCTGATAATCCTGATAGTTACCCAAGAGCTTGCGATCCTTGAAAGTGTACTGCTTCCGGTGTTTGAAGCCTCTTCCTCTGCCTCCCCTGTGCACTCCGTGCCGTCTTCTCCACATGTGACCTGCCCCTCCGATGCCGTTGCCTTTGGCTCGCCCTTCCATATAGGGCTCCTCTATACCTGCGTCCAGCTGCCTGTGGTCATCCAACACAACAACAGCTTCTCTGTCTTCCTCCTCAGCACCAGAGGTCTTCTCTGGGTCTTGATGTTCATCATTGATTTGCACCTGAAAGACGTCGCTCTCAGGCCCGTCCTCTCCCTCGATTTGGCCGGATGCATCTGATCCTCTGACCTGTCATGGTGAACACATAAATTAGTAAACCACAACCAAGCAAACTACCACACTAAGAGCTGATCTAAATCCTTTCGGGTGTTCAGATTGGTAGAGATTTACACCAGCATAGAAATCAAAAGTCGATTTGATGCATGACTGTTGTTGGCGATGGGTCTTTATGTAAAATGCCAATCCTCTGTGGTGCAAGGGAAACTACCCATTAAGGTTGGATGATGTATTGAATATTCATGATTAGCAATGATTTCACTGGTGGTATAGTGAATATTACAACGATTCTAAAGAAATGTTTCCAAAAGTGCATTATACAAATTTCCAGATCCTTCATTGTCTCCAAACATTGTCTCTATGAGCATTATTAGCATCTGAAGCAAATCCAACACAGATTTACACTGTGTATGGTCAAATCACTCATCTTTTTGAGGGATGTTGGAGAGATCCCAATGAATGACTACTTACACTGACGATCACTGGCATAGATGGATAGTCTTCTGATTTCACAGTCTGAATAGACTTGTTTGAGGTTGAGACATTCACAACTGGGCTGCAGCTCCGGGGCTGCATGTACTGGCTCAGGGCTCCTCTGCATTTCTCCACCACATGCTCCATCTGCAGGTAGCTGGCTGCAGTCAGGTAGTTCACGATCTCTTTGGCACTGAACTGCAGCATCCCTGTGTAACAGGACTGGAGGAGTTCACATACCACCGCTGAGCTGTGCAACATCGACACCTGCTGGATAGACAAAGTATTTGTTGACAGAATCAAAACAAGTACTGTTAATATAAAAATAAAATTCAAAAGAATCATTATCAGCTAGCAAAGGTACGTTCCGATTTTTAAAGCAACATCAAATAGAACTGCATAAATTCAAACAACAAATACCAAAGGTCCATTCACACCAAGAACAATAACTATACAGCTAACTATATCTGCGTCCACACCTATGCACTAATGCACATTCTGTATATTATAATCGCGTGCTGAACTTATGTTGTCTGCCACTTTATATGCTCAACCTCTTTAAAGTTGAAAGGAATTGAATTGCCTGTCAATGTTTTATTGTTCATCGGCTAGAAAACAAAAATCACTCTGAAAATGATTCCAATGATACATTTCTGTGTTGTTCCATACTCTCATAGAAATAGAATGATTATTAAAATGTTATTTTAAAATTATTTAAAAAAATGTCATTATTGTCCCTTAACACCAAGTGCCACCAAGCCATATCTAAAACATTTAAGAGACAATGAGGTTACTTAAAACAGTTACTTAAAATGTATATCAACAGGGGGGAAGTCGTAGCCTAATGGTTAGAGAGTCGGACTCGTAACCCAGGTTGCGGGTTTGAATCTCGTACCGGCAGGGATTGTAGGTGTGGGGAGTGAGACTGAGGTGCCCCCCGAACCCCCAACTGCTCCCCGGGCGCCGCAGCATAAATGGCTGCCCACTGCTCCGGGTGTGTGTGTGTGTGTGTGTGTGTGTGTGTGTGTGTGTGTGCGTGCGCACTTTGGATGGGATAAATGCAGAGCACTAATTCCTAGTATGGGTCACCATATTTAGCCACATGTCACGTCACTTTTTCACTTTCAACATTTTTTTTGATTTTTATGGGATGAGTTAATCTGAAATCAATGACACAAAAACTGTTATTACTTCAAGCTGTCCAGATGTTATTAGATTTTACCTTATAAATAAAAAATAAGATGCACCAAAGTAACACTAATCATACAGAAGATTTCACAAGAACTTGACAACAAATGACAACAACAGACCTGTAGCTCTGATGAGGGGTTCAGGAGGAACTGGTCCCTGAGAAACGCAGAGCAAGCAGCCAGCACGACCTTGTGACCCCTGAACATGCGCCTGCCTCCCGCCACGATGGTCACATCACAGAAGTGCTGCTGCGTCCGCAGGAAGTTGATGTTACTCAGGGCCGTGTCTCCATGCCCAGGCAAACGGAAACTCACCACATCCATGTTTTCACTACAGGAAGCAAAAGAAAAAAAGAAAAAAAATTTCAGTTTTTACTATTTGGAATATTTCATATGAATGCCCCCACAAGACAAATATCTACACTTAAAAATGATTAAGTTTCTGTTACTACAATAGTTCATACTTTAAATGAAAGTTTACACACCCTTAGCTCTTAACGTAATGTGTTGCCTTCTTGAGCAGCAGTGACTGCTTGCAGCTTTGGATGTCAAAACCATACGGTCACTGTTGGAAAGAGCTTTAATGTGCAGAAGATGCTGGAAATCCAAACAATATGCAGGACCCGGAGAATATTTATGAAGAACAGTGGGCTGTTTAACTGCTCAGGGCTGCTTTTCCAAAAGCATCGTAAGCCTAAGTAGATCGTAGAAGACACAGAGAAACACAGCCCAGGACAAACAACTATCACAAAATATAAAAACAGCTGTAGATCAATAACAACACATAGTTGTTCAGTTATACATATACTGAGTTATTATTAAATACATTGTTCAGGGCAGTACTAAAAAACAAAACAATTTTTATGGTCATTTTACGGTCACAATTTTTCATGCTCTTATTATTTTTGTTATTAACATTTTGCAGATTCTGAAAGGTGTGTGTAAACGTATGACCTCAACTATATATTCATATTTATAATAAAGCAGCAGCACAGTTCTTCTTCATTGTATGAATTCAGTGTCATCAGTGTTATTGTTTACATCAGTGTTGAGCTAAACTGGCTCTGTGGCATCTTTTGTTTCAGACAGACTGTTTAACACACTGACTGCCCTCAATACACTTCACTTCACTGATCTAGAGTGATTCAGTGAAGAGAAATACATAATCATACAAAACACACGAACACACATTTATGATATCTAGATGCATCTCCATCCACTGGACGAGCGAAAACACCAAACCAAAACACTCGCACTGATCTCGCTGTCTTTATGTCTGATTTCGGTCATTCCTACTAACTTCAGATATTTTCTATTGTGCTCCGTGTGTTTTAAAACAATTACGGCTAAGATTCGCAGAATTAAATAAAGTCATGAAACTTACCAAGAAATATTGAATACAAAAGACGATTTTCAGAATAAAAGCCCCCTTTGGACAACAATAAGCCAATGGTTTTTAACCTGGATTTCGGGACCCCCGGGGGTCTCAAAGCGGTAGAAGGGGGGTCGTGGGAAAAATTTTCATTTTGAAGATGTGTACTTGCCTAATGGCCCCATCTACCGGCGAAATGTTATAAAGTTTAATAAATTGAAGGCGTCACTGGTTGACATGGAAACCGCAATGGCAGAGGGAAGTAAAAAAAAATCTATTCTTATTCATAGAAAGTCCCTTATTGATTCATATCACATGTTTTAATGCTATTACGTTTCTCTGATTGTGCTTCTTTGGGATGGCACAATAAAGCGACGTTCACTTGCAGAACGCAAGCTTCTAGAGGGCACGGAAGGACGTGTTCTTACAGAAATATATAATAATAATAATAATAATAACAATAATAATAATTGCAATTGGGAGAGTCCTTATAAAATAAATAAATATCTGATGTTCATTAAAGGTGGGGTAAGCGATTTTTCAAAAAAGCTTTAGAAAACTGATTCGGGCCGAGTAGCGAAACAATCTTGTAGCCAATCAGCAGTAAGGGGCGTGTCTACTCATGACATGGAGGAGAGAGAGTTCAGTGCACAGGACGGACGTTAGCGAGCCGAGCGACAGAAAGATAGAGATGGAGGATAAAAAACAAAAGAGGAAAACATCTGCGGAACAAACGAAGGCTTAAGACAATAAGGCAAGGAGTAGGACCAGTGCAAATATCGGATCAGCTTTCCAGCGCTGGAGAGAACTCAAGAAGCGGAAGGCCTGCGATCGGAGGCTGAGGTTGCTTTGTTTCTTCTCGATAGGTGAGTAACACCGTGTCTGCGCCGCAACAGCTAAAGTCTGTCTAGTACACTGGACGCGACAAAGCGACCGTTGAAAATCCTTTGAAATTTGTGTCAATACGTCATAAATAGAACGCAGCAGCAGTTTTCTGTCGGGGATTTGTCGTGCCGTGCCGCGCCGCATCCAGTGTAGACCATAGATATGTATATATATCTATGATGCGGACAGCATCACTGATTATAATGAGTTCTATAGTATTTTGTTGCGCCGCGCCACTCGCGTCCGGTGTAGACACGGTGTAACATTGGTTTTGCGTTGTTTCACAGAACTAATCGTTGCCTGGGTTGTGTACGTATGTGTGGGGCGGAGCTATCAAAATAGGGGAGAGACCCTTTTGGGGTAGGGGCGTGTTTGTTTTGGTGATTTAAAATGTCAACATTGACTACCAGAAAACGCTTACCCCACCTTTAATGCTTATTTGGTGATGCAGCTAGTCCTGAAGGAGAATATATGTTCACACGGTTCACATGATGCTTGAACTGAGGCGCTACATCAATCAAAAGTAACCTGCTCTATCTTGTCGGCACGTTGTCAATCTTCTTTGCTCCACTATGTGTTTTTCACTGCATAAGAACATGTTTACACGTGTTACAATTCGGAGTGGAGGGACAACTTCAGAATAATGTCACAGAGTTCATTCATGAAGTTAATTCAAGAGTTTGCCCAAAAGAGCACAGGTAGGTCGCCTGTGTGTAGTTTAATAATTGTAATATACAGCCTGTCATTACCTCTCTGATTATCACAAAACAAACACAAGGTGATCAGGACCGAGATGTTGAGCTTTTTATACAGATTGTTAATGAATGCATCAAAATAAAAGACTGATTTGATTTTAAAGTGCCATATTTGAACCTTTCAGAATCAGAATGAGCTTTATTGCCAGGTATGTTTACACATACAAGGAATTTGTTTTAGTGACAGAAGCTCCACAGTGCAACAGAATGACAGTGACAAGACAGGACACAGATAATAAAAAGAACAATATACAAAATAGACAATGTACAAAAAAAGCAAAAACACAATATATAATATAGATATTATAAGGCACACCTGTGCAATAATCATGCTGTCTAATCAGCATCTTGATATGCCACACCTGTGAGGTGGATGGATTATCTTGGCAAAGGAGAAGTGCTCACTAACACAGATTTAGGCAGATTTGTGAACAATGGCCTTTTGTGTACATAGAAAAAGTCTTAGATCTTTGAGTTCAGCTCATGAAAAATGGGGGCAAAAACAATGTTGCGTTCATAATTTTGTTCAGTGTAAATTCGAGTGTTGGATTAGACAGAAATAGCTCCCTAAGGTAACAAAAGCATATATCTTAGTAGTGTATAATATATTTTACTATAGAATTTTTTTTATCTCTTATTTTGGTAATTTGCAAGCCACCCTCTTTTGAGGCAGTGCTCCAGCCTGGCCCCCCATTTAGCATATGCTGCATCGGCCACATACAAATTCAGAGGCATGCCCTTTTAAAACGGTAACACTATCAAATAAAAATTCAAAGCAATTAAACGAATTATTGTCGGGATCCAGTCATTTCTGTCAGGGGGGTTACTTTTTTGATTACAGTGTCCTGACCATCCTGTTATGTGTATTGTTTGACCAAATAGCTTTTTTTGTGTTTTCAGTCCCAATGTCCTGCTGCCAATGTATAATTAATTCACAGCAAGAAAATTACAGTTGGGACAATCTTTTTAATACGGCTTTGTTGAATTAGTAACATACAAACACTAAAGTTGCACTACAACAAAAATGACAAACACGTTTTCTTACTTTCCTCATCACGCCACAGTACTAATTCATGAACATTTCTGTTTGTATTAACATTTATCACTCCTAAAAGCCATATATGCTAGACCTTCACTTGGCATCCATTATTGTCTGCTCGCTTGAAGACTTTTAACCTTTAAAGAAAAACAAAAAAAAAACTAGTATTTGTGCTCTTATGTGGTATAAAGAGGGAAAATTCTGTCATCTTTACAAACGAAGATGTTTTGAAGAACGTTGAGGTTTAAACATCATAAACCGCTTTTCCACTGTCAGGTTGAATGGTTCTAAGAACAGTAAGGAATGGTTACTGTTAGACTTCCACTTGAGCCAAACCCTGTTGGCAGAATGAATGTAGTGACGTCGCCACTCAGGATGGGTCACTGGTTTGTTGTCTGGTTCTGGCTGCTTCTTTGTCTCTGTAGCTGGCCAAGCACACTATTTGAGTGAAGTAAAAGGACATATCTGATCATCCTCCATAACACGGTCGCTATCCATCTCGTACGGCATGTAAACACTTGCATTACCAAGGCAATGGCTGACACATTTGTATTATGAGCTCTATTGTCAGGCCCACAGTGCGAAATGAAACCATATCTATACCGGCTGGGCCAGATCGACATGGAATGAAATGGTTAAGTAACAAGAATGGTTCGGCCCAAAGGTAAAAAAAAAAGTGCATACCGACTTGATTGAAAAATTCAGACAAAATATGAAGTTCATTTGCAAAATCAGATAACTCCATTTTTGTTTATTTTCAGAAATCATGTTTTTTTTAATTGTGCATTCCAAGTACTATCAATCAAACTGCAGTTGGGTTGTTTTGATTAAATAATAACGCAAACAAATACGTTGCCTGACAAACATTGTTGTTGTGATCATAGACTGTATGTATGGTTGTGATTACACGCAATACACGGGAGCTTTTCCCTCACCACTGTCACGTGCTGTTTTTGCAAGGTATTGTGAAATAGTTTCAGATTTTATTTTCCTTTACGCCCCAAAGAGGATATCATGGGTTCACCAAGTTCGTCGAAATGATCCATTCTCGATCACTTTAGTCAGTTTTGACGAAACTCCTCTCAGCTAGCACGTCTTTTCAAAGTGAAAGAAGCCTTGTCACCTGACCTGAATACGGCGCGCTGATTCACTAAATGGGTTTATCGGCTTCGGTTCACAAACAAGGGCGCTTGTCGCTTCTGCAGTAAAACGTGAGCTCGCGATGCCTTTGAAAGTGGACAACACCGGCTTTTTTGGCAAAACGTGTTTAGGATTCTATATGTGGAGAATAATGCGCGGTCCTCAGTTCATTTATTTTTTTTTAAGTGGCATTTATCGGTTTTTGCAAATGAACTCTTCATGTCTTTTGCGTTTCACAGAAAAAAAGTCTTAGAGGATTGAAATGACACGTTATTACATACCGATTACAAAGACATACATTTTTTACTTAATGTGCACCGATAAATTGTGCACAAACCTAGAAATGTGTATTAAGAAAGTAAACGGGGTTAATTCTGATTTCATTAATTTAAATGTGATCTAAACCCCCTCCCCAGCACCACCCTCATTGTTTCGCTGCATTTCCAGATAATTTTGGGCCGTGGTTCTTCCGTGTTGCTCCTTCAGGTGACGGCGTAGAGCAGGCTTGTGGGCAAAGCTGACGTGGCAGTACGCGCACACATGTGGGCGCTCTCCACTATGCAGGTTCATGTGGTCACACAGTGTTGACTTTTGAGTGAAGGTCTTGTGGCACAGGGGGCAGCAGTGGAGCTTGGATACTCCACGGTGGACGATCATGTGGCGATTGAGGTTACTGGAGTGGCTGAAGTGCTTCCCGCAGCACGGACACACGTACAGCCGGTGTGTTGACAGGGAATGCATGGCTAAATCCTGCGTTGTGGAAAACGCTAATCCGCATTGCTCACACACCACTGGTCCAGCTACGCAGGACGTGGATCCCACCACTGCCACAGACTCATCAGCAGCTCTGTGTTCATTTGTATGTGTCCCAACTCCAATTCCCTCTTCCCCACTGGAAGCTTCCATACTAAATTGAGCAAGACCTCCATCAGAGCCAATCTCTTCTCCTTGTCCCTCTCCAGGCCTGTACTCAATGCGGACGGTACCGTCTGCGAGATGCTGATTGGACAGGTAATCAGCCCCAAAGTCTGCTCCAAAATTGCCCATTATCTCATCAGGGGTCGGGAACCGCCAAGCCTCCTGATAGTTACCCAAGAGCTTGCGATCCTTGAAAGTGTACCGCTTCCGGTGTTTAAAGCCTCTTCCTCTGCCTCCCCTGTGCTCTCCGTGCCGTCTTCTCCATATGCGACCTGCCCCTCCAATGCCGTTGCCTTTGGCTCGCCCTTCCATATAGGACTCCTCTATACCTGCGTCCAGCTGCCCATGGTCATCCAACACAACAACAGCTTCTCTGTCTTCCTCCTCAGCACCAGAGGTCTTCTCTGGGTCTTGATGTTCATCATTGATCTGCACCTGAAAGACGTCACTCTCAGGCCCGTCCTCTCCCTCGAAATGACCAGATGCATCTGATCCTCTGACCTGTTATGGTGAAAACAAATTAGTAAACCACAACTGAGCAAACTACCAAAATAAGTGCTGATATGACCCTCTTTGATTTAGGACTGCCAGAAATACGCAGTAATATAGCAACCATGTTTGATTTTGCTGGCAAATGTCACATTAATTTGTGCATTTAGCTATTAAATTTCCAGAAGATAATTTTACAAATTTTCAGACTCTTCTTCCCTTGTATCAAAACCTGCAATTATGCTAGCAAATATTTTTTGCTGAAATATTTTAATGGTGTCCTTTTATAAACTTCAGTTGCACAAACAGCTTGAAAGTTTGAACGCTAATAATCATTAACGTTACATCTTTTGGCACTGTTAGCATATGCGGCAAATCCAACAGATATTTACATGGTGTATGGTCAAATCGCTGTCATCTTTGTGAGGGATGTTGGACAGTTCGGCATCGGCAGCCTGGAACTCCTTTCCTGAACTGTGAGGATGCAGTGACGCGGTATCAGAAGGGGATGAAATGGATCCCAATGAATGGGTACTTCCACTGACAATCACTGGCATAGACTGAGGGTCTTCTGATTTCACAGTCTGAATATTTAATGGGAGAAACGGAGAGAGAAGGACAAACAATGCATAAATTTTACTAAAATTAATTAAACAATCAGCATAGGCTGTCAAGCCCCAGCAAACACCAAAAGAGTCAGTCGCAAAACAATATTATGGCTTAAGACAATATGGAATGCAAATCTCTGGTCACATGGACCCCTTTTATGGTGTTTTACGGTGTTGTCTACTCGTCTTTTTTGGAGCATGACACTATGCTTTGCTAAGATTTTGAGAAGCATTCCGTCTGTCAGAGAACAGTAGCTGTAGTGGGCCTTTGAAGATAATCTACAATGCGCTGGCATCTTCAATCAGCCAAAGGCCCTGTCCCAAATGGCACCCTAAACCCTCGCGGTCTTCCTCTGAGTCCGCACTTTAGTGACGTAATGCCCCTTTGACTGTCGGGTAGACGTCTGCTGCAGAGCTCGCCCCAGTGCGGGCTCGGCAGAAGTACGGATCGACGGCGCATAACGGCCACAAAGGGGGCCCTCGAGCACCCTTTTGAACACTAAAAATGACAAATCGGACACCCTACGGTCTTGTGGACTTAACAGACACACGCACGCAGTGGCCATTGTAAGTCCGTAAGAGCACATGAAGTGTTCCATTTGGGACAGGGCCAAAGAGTACTCCTGATCTCAGTCCACTAGCTCCCAGGTGTGACCAGAATCAAATTTAAGGCTTTGATGCTGGCTTTCAGGCCTGCCACTTGAACTGCACCTCCCTGCATCAATCCACACATACAAGTGTATACCTTGTTGTTTCTTCACAATAGCCAAGTTTCCATTCCAAGTTGCGAATTTAACTTGTGCGCAAAATTGGAATAATCACATAAAACTTTTGCGAATAAGCACCGTTTCCATCCAACGATTTAGAGAGAACAAAATCGCCACTTCCTGATAAACTGGCACTAAATACCACTAAGAAAAGTAGGAGAAGCCACTTAAGATAATAATTGTCAAATATAATAAATTACTTGCACTTCAAGAGAGCAGATGAAACATTAAATGCGGTCTTGCTTTCGGAGGTGAATGTCAGCTGTTTGGGAACGCAGTCATGGTAGGCCGTTCTGGGAGGTAATTATACAGAAATACTTTGATGACAGACTTTGCTCGAGCACTTCAGAATGACCATAACATTTCAGATGCTGTTCAACAAAATCAGTCCGCTGATTAGTCAGGTTATGCCGTCCCATAGCACAAAGTCACATTACTTTTTTTGAACGCTCATACGGGATTTATTCACAAAATGCATTTCCATCTCCCATTATTCGCATTCACCCTTTTTCGCACATGTCAAAAACCACCTAAAAAATTAGCATAACTTTTGCGAATTAAGAGATTTCTTTTCAAAATTTGGCATTTCCCTCACTCGTTTCTGATGCGATACTTCAAAACGCTCATAAAAAGAGTGTGACGGAAACATCGCTAATGAGGCACAAAGTTGCTTTCCCAAACCTTCACCCTCCTTGCTCTTCTTTGGTGGAATGAGCGGTCGACCTCCACCCAAACTGCTGAGACCAGGGGTGGCCAGCTTTGGTCCTCCACAGTCCTGCAATGTTTTGCTCCAACTCTAATCAAACACACCTGAACAAGCTAGTCAGGGTCAAAGGCTTACAAAGGCTGCGCTCCACTTAGCATTTAGACACACTCACTAACTTCTCCCCAAGTACTTCCCCCTCGGGGGAATCCCCAACACCTTTTTGCTCATTTTTCAGTTTCATGAAGTGGACCAGGGAAGGTTATATGGACAGGCCCTTGACCCCTCAGTCATCGAGGGAGCTAGTCTACTTCACTTGTACATTTCAGGCAGCTCCATAGACAACAATGCAACATGATTGTGACATCACGTTTGACAAGTGTTTGAGGTTGGGATACTCACAACGGGGCTGCGACTCCGGGGCTGCATGTACTGGCTCAGGGCTCCTCTGCATTTCTCCACCACATGCTCCATCTGCAGGTAGCTGGCTGCAGTCAGGTAGTTCACGATCTCTTTGGCACTGAACTGCAGCATCCCTGTGTAACAGGACTGGAGGAGCTCACATACCACCGCTGAGCTGTGCAACATCGACACCTGCTGGATAGACAAAGTATTTGTTGACAATCAAAGCAACAAATGATTTTCAAAATTAAAGTGAAATGGAAGTAGCAACAGATTTTCCTTGTGCAGAACTGATTGAAGAAAAGAAAAAAAAAGTAGGGTGTGGCCTTGAGTTTATACGTTGATTGGATGGAGGCAGATCTAAATATGAGCTTTCAATCGACAATACTTTATTTAACCTTTTCTGACAAGCGTGCGCTGCAAATTCGAGCATTTAATCATTTCTGTCCAGTCCGCTCATTTGATCGTGTTTAACCACAGCTGTCGTCAGTATTTTGTCTGGCAGTGGCAGCAGGTATACAATACATTTTCAAATTGGAGCCTGTATCACGTCGATTCTGGCTCCCAACATCTCAAAAAGATGATATTTTAAGCTCCTCATGTAGCCGAATCTGTGCTGGTTTGAATTGGCCGTCTCCAGTTTTCGCTCCAGCTAGCGCTGTGACGTAGGCCCTAAAAGGGTCTATACTGAAACAAAGTCTTTCTGTACATTTTATATTCAGAAATGGGAGTGTCCTCGAACGGACCAGTGGAGGGAACGAATAGAATTCCAGACTATATTAGACAGACAGCTTATTTGTACCTCAATTTATGCATGAAGTCTAGTTTATGAACCACTACAGTTTATTATTTTCACTGATTTTAGGAGGTGATAATCTGAAATCACTGACACAAATAACAAATGTGAAGTTTAATGTTCGATCTTCAGGGTGTTTGAGACACCATTTTATTAGATTTCATCCACTAATACAGACTAATGTAACCCTAACGACACAGAAGATCAAATGGTTTGCTTCTGATGCTGCTGTAACCTAGTCATTCTGATGGCACGAGAAGCCCCTCACCTGTAGCTCTGATGAGGGGTTCAGGAGAAACTGGTCCCTGAGAAACGCAGAGCAAGCAGCCAGCACGACCTTGTGACCCCTGAACATGCGCCTGCCTCCCGCCACGATGGTCACATCACAGAAGTGCTGCTGCGTCCGCAGGAAGTTGATGTTACTCAGGGCCGTGTCTCCATGCCCAGGCAAACGGAAACTCACCACATCCATGTTTTCACTACAGCTAAAACGGGGGGGAGAAAAAAAAAACAACAACACCCATTTATTTGATATATTAACACACACAACCTGATATCTACACTTAAAAATATAATGGAGTTTGTTATTCTTCAGAATTAAAAAGCTTTCTGAATATCTCAGTTATTTTTATGTATGGAAATTACATTAACATGAAAGCACAGAAACAATAGGTCCATGAAATGTTCTCATAACGCCATAAATAAATTCACATTTAGACGAAATAGGAGGCACACCTGTGCGTTATACGAGCTCTGGATGATCATAGTCATGCATGTTTACATCGGTGTTAGCCTAAAGTAACGTTAGCTCAGGCTGTAGCGTCTTTTGTTTCAGACAGACTGTTTAACACACTGCCCTCAATACAATACAAACACTTCACTGATCCGATAAACATGAACTTACTTGAGTGATTTAGTGAGGGGAAATCAATAATCCTAAAAAAAAACACACACACACGAACTTATCACATTTATGATGCCTAGAGATCAACCCAGCTCCACATCACTGCACGAGCGAGAACAGGAGTCTGCTGTCTTTATGCGTCTGATCTCGGTCAGTCCTACTATATAGTTTCTGCTGTGCTCCGTGCGTTTTAAAACAATTGCAGCCAAAATTCGTAGAATGAAATGAAGAAAGAAAAGTTAACAGGAAATTTCGAACCCGAAAGATGATTTTCAAAATAAAAGTCCCGCCTAGAAACCATCTACAGTTCGCAAGAGCGCTTGCGTATGAGCGAAACAGTTTCTTGTTAAACGCGGTTATTTAAAATAAAATTAAATGTTGCGGACTGATGCTTCTACAAAAGCAAAAATATACCATCGAGAAAAGATTAGTCCGCATTAGGTTAAAATCAGTAAAGGAGAAAATGACTGTTTGTATTTAATTCCTTAGTTTGATCATTTATAGATTGTCATTTTAAATGTATATAGTCTGAGAGTTTAAAAAAAGTCTTTGAGTGTCAAAAAGCCTTTAATTTTATTTTTTTGCTTGCATGATCATTTGTATCCAGCAGATAACCACGTGGAGGCGCTATGAATTCAGGATGGACCTCCAATAAAATAAATTATTTGCAAACGGATACAGAGAGACATGAAAAAAAAATTAAGGGGAACATAACATGAAAAAGAGGAGACATATGCCGAAGCCCCAACTCAAGTGGGCCTATTGACTCTTGCATTCGTGGTAACATACTTTTCCTAGTGCTTTGGTGGTCGACAATCATTTAAAGGCGGTTATTTAAAATAAAATTAAATGTTGCGGACTGATGCTTCTACAAAAGCAAAAATATACCATCGAGAAAAGATTAGTCCGCATTAGGTTATCTTTAAAATCAGTAAAGGAGAAAATGACTGTTTGTATTTAATTCCTTAGTTTGATCATTTATAGATTGTCATTTTAAATGTATATGGTCTGAGAGTTTAAAAAAAGTCTTTGAGTGTCAAAAAGCCTTTAATTTTATTTTTTTGCTTGCATGATCATTTGTATCCAGCAGATAACCACGTGGAGGCGCTATGAATTCAGGATGGACCTCCAATAAAATTAATTATTTGCAAACGGATACAGAGAGACATGAAAAAAAAATTAAGGGGAACATAACATGAAAAAGAGGAGACATATGCCGAAGCCCCAACTCAAGTGGGCCTATTGACTCTTGCATTCGTGGTAACATACTTTTCCTAGTGCTTTGGTGGTCGACAATCATTTAAAGATATATATATATATATACACATTTATAAATTCTCTTAATTTCTTCCCAATGTACAGTTTACACATCAGATTTATACAGGTAAACATCAAACACACAGGATTTAATAATCAGTCTTCTGTTTCAATCCAGCCAATATAATTGCAAGTTGTACTGCATATTCTCTTGATCTTTGCATACAATGAAAATCAATAAAATACGGCCCATATGAATTTGATGAAATTGCAATCTCCTGTTGAGATGTGTCCAATATGACTGTGTTACTTCAGCTTGCATTATCATTTGCAGATGACTACAAAACACTCATATAAAGGCATCAAAATCTACATTCTTTGTCAACATTAAACCAAACCGAGGAGCATTCAGTTCTAAAGGTACCAATGAGTTCAAAAGGAAGACCTAAAAGTAATTCATTTTTCACTCCCAATCCCAAAAACACCTTGCTAAATGTGTCAAAAAGAAAAGAAATTGGCGGATTAAAGGTGAAATGCACCATCATGCAAGTGAACATCAATAAATCTGACATTTTTTCTGCTATATGACGTCCTTGAAAGCCACTTGTCTAAATAATTTAGTTAAAAGCGAATGCCTTCTGAATTGTCAGTATAGTTTAAGGGAATTCAATTAAAAGTGTGAGTCAATTTGACAGGTATTCTGATAGAAGTCTATTTCTGTCTAATGAACTGCCACTGAATTGGTAACGTTGAAGAGAAGTGCAGTCGAAGAGCCATTAAAGAGCGACTTTATGCGTGCCATATCTGTTAGTGTTCATTGGTCCTCGAAGAGACATAAAGAAGTTACACAGGAAAAGTGCTGTTCATATTTTTCTGTAAACTCATAAAGAAACAGTGCTGAATACCTCTCTCTCCCCCAGTGCGTCCCACAGCTCTCTAATTTGATCATTTGTGAGAGACACAACCCCATAAATATGCTGGCCGAACAAAAGGAAACCACATTAAAACCCAAACTGCCACTGCAAAGAACAACTGAAAATAAAACCGAGGCATAAAGCTGATTCCAGCACAGATTTGAGAGGACAGAAATGGAAATAACCAAGGGCTGAGCCACCGATGCATCATGTAATGTTCCCTTGTGTAACAATCTAATTACAATAGACCTTCATTGATCTGTCAACCCATAGACTGGGCCAAGGGCACACGCCTGGTGTCCAGTTTCATAAAGCAGAAGCTCCAGAGCCAAAACAATAACTTTAATTTCACAACGGGTCAATTTAGATCGATCGCCAAACAGTAACAACGCAGCAGAGTAAAAGTAAGACACAATGTCTACAATGCACTTAACAGGCTGGGGATGTTGTGCAACCCATGTGCAATTCTATGATGCAAGTATTATTCTTAAGGAAATTTTGTGAAGTTTGGACACCATGTCCCATGATTCAAAGGAAATTTGTAGTAACTGATGTGAAATGATATGGTAATATGCTCCATTTATGGGAGCAGAAAACAGGGATGCTTGCTTTGCTTAAGTTTAAGGACAGTGTGGAGAGCAGGTCAGTATTGGAGGAAAATAAAGAGGAAACAGAGAGAACAGAAGGAAGGAGGTCTTGATATTCAATCCATCTTCTCTTTTTGGACCAGTTTCGGTGCATCAACAAACTCCCGTCCGTTGACCAGGATGACAGCAGCCGTAAGAGCACTGGCTATTCCCCAGAACAACACGTATGCCAGGGTCTCCGTCCAAGTGTCACCTGACAGAGAGTACCAGATGTCATTATTCACAAACTAAATAGGCACTACTACTGTATGTACATTTTCCAAAGAAGCAACAGTAATGGAACCATATAAGGATTAAAATCATTGTAACGCACATCTCTTGTGGGTCAATGACATATAATGGTAAATAAAGGAAAAATATTTTACAAATCTAGTTTAAAACATGTCAAGTTCTTAAAAATTTATTTTTTGTCGGTTCCATTTAAATGTAATGACTCATGCATATTAAACCATGGGGTGTAATATTAGGGCCTTTTGCACTTTATTATTAAAAGTAACATTTTCTTTACACATTCCACACATGTGAATGTACTTAATTATTACAAAAATATATTTTAAAGATATATACAGTATATATTAAATTTTTTTCAACAAATCTTATTAATACATAAATATCAAGTTTTTAGGGAGTTGCACCACATGACATTTGACATTCTGAACTAAAAAATATGTCTAATATTTTGAGAGACTTCTTGACCTTGACATGATATCATTATATCTTCCTTTTTTGATTCATGCATGTTTTTACATGTTGTTTGCACCCCATGACTTTCTTAGTCGAACCACATGACTTTGATTATACTAGTGTTTCAAATATTAATAAGCGGTTTCGTTAAAAATATATATTGCAAATAATACAAAAACATTTTAGGTTCTTATTTATGATATCAGGACATTTGCATCAAAGTGAAATATAATTCTGACATTAAAAACATTGTTTTTAAGTCACTGCATGTATGAATTCCATTTTTTATTAAATAAATAAATAGATATTAGTCAGGGTAGCACCATATTTAATTCTTGTCAGGAGAAGTACAGTGCGTTTAATGGGCTGTACTTTAACAACATAAAGATTGTTCAGCTGATGAAACATCTTTCCAAAAAAAACCTCCATGAAACAGTTTTGAAAGTTGTGAGTTGTGAAAATAAAGTGATCTAGAACCTTTGTCTGCCATCGTAAAGCCTAGTTTTCATCTGTGTTAAATTCAATCTGGCGTCTAACCTGACTAAGGTCTATAGATTTGGACAAAAACATGTCATGTTATTGCTTTATTTCATGTTGTGTTATAATGCCAGACCTTACCAGCCATTAGGAGACAGATGATGCACATGGAGAAGGCCACCACCATAATAACAGGAAGCTGTAGAAGAGATTTATGAATATAAAATGACCAGCAGCTGGTGTTGTTGAATTATAAATGTGAGGACTGCATGAAGCAGCTTGGAGTAAATTTTTCTCTTTTTTTATTCGTCATAGTAATGACCTCTTTTAATTCGGATTCTCTCTTACTACAAGCAGTATGGGAAAAGCACTGACCAAGAGGAACTTCCAGTCCTTCTGCACATGCAGAGGCATCAAGCCATCGGTTTCATCCACTGTATAGTTTCCGAGGAAGAGATCGATGGAGTCCTGTGGGCAAAGTCAGCTACTTCAAATTCAATGCAGTCTGATTGAAAGACATAAAGACAAAGAATTCATACGGACTTGTCTGAACCCGTCTGAGAAATTGTTCTTGTAGTAGCGGATCATTGAGTTCCAGCCGTCCATTACCAATCCCCAGTGAGTCCTATTCCCGGTTCTGAGGTCAAAGGTGAAGGTTACAGCGGTGGACGCACACAAATGTGCATATTCTGAAAGGAGTCTGGGATGAATACCTGGTGAAGTCGGTTTTCAATGCTCCGGTTCCTGCGTATTGTTTAGCACAAGCATTGGCATTGTCTGCCCATGCTGAGAGAAAAAGAAAAGGAAAATAATGAGGTTTCTTGCTTTATTTACTGTCGCAAACAAGAGAATTGTGTCTAAGGGAATTTCTAGCAACACACCGTTCTTATAAATCTTCTCAAAATCAGCCTGTTCCTCAATTTTCTGGCCTACGTGGAGGACACCCATCCTCTGAAATGAAATAGAGCTCAAGGTGATGACAAATCAATATTTAAAGGGGTGGTTGACTTTTTTTTCTAGGCTTGATTGTGTTTATGGGGTGCAGTCTAACATGTGTTAATACTTTGCTAATATTTTTCACATAATCTACCTTTATTTCACACCTTCTCCTCTAAACGCGCTGATCATTTCCTGCTTTTATGAAGCTCCTCCCACAGAAATACGCAATGGGCTCAGAATGGTTAGCTGGTCCAGTGTGGTGTGATTGGCTAAACCGTCTCTAGTGCACGTCTAAACATCCCGCCCCTCACCTCAGCGGTATGTGCTACGGTTGTATTGTAAACAATGGCGTCGTGAAATTGCTTATCAATTTGAGCCCAATTGAGAAGCAGAGGATATTATTGAAGAGGATCACGCAGAACCTGTGCAAGCACGGCTCTTAATGGTATATTTTTTGTTTGTTGTTGTCTCATACTTTTAGATACGCTGTTATTTGTAAATGCTACTGCTTCTGTTAGCTTTTAATATACAGTTTTATCCTGATTAAAGCTTTAGTACAGTATGGCAACCGCACGCGCGTCAATGTTTAACGCTTCTCATAGCTATGTGAAAAATATCTCTTGGTCTATACACATATAGTGTATAACTGGAACACAGTTCTTTGATGGAGCTGTGACGAGCTGATGATCTGAATGAGAGAGAGAGAGAGAGATGCAGAGCGTGTGCAGAGCAGGGGGACGCGAGGAACAGTATTAAGAACCGCTGCTTTAGAACACTGATTTTGAAACTTGTGAATCCATTAGAATCGTTAGAAGACAGAATCGCGATTCATATATGAATAGATTTTTACGTGCACGCCTAGTTTTCTCTTCCTTTTCTCTAAAGCAGCGCAGCATGGCCCCGCCCCCTTCGTTGCGTGTTCCTGGGGGCGGGGTTTATCTGGGTTTGTGACGTAACGGATCCGGGAAGTAAATCGTAGTCCCTACGAGCCATTTTAGTAGGCATTAAACTGCCATAATTTTAAAAGACGATATCTCCGTTTGCACTGAACTTTCAGCGCCACAACTTTGTAGATATTGTTTATGCTCAAACAGCAACATTACACACTAACTAACGTTAAAAAAGCGAAATCGCAATCAACCACCCCTTTAACCACATTATTAATCCATATAGCTGATTTCTAAATGTCTCCAAGCGATCATGACCACATAAAAGTGTTTTACACTTCCTAAGCAAACATGATGCATCAAGTTTCAAGTAAGTGGCCCTAACTGACAGAAAAGCCACATAATTAATGCCAGTCAGCTCTCTCTAGTGCGTAAGTGTCCTCAATTGCATCACACCTAACTAGGATGCGTCAGACATGCTATTTGTGATGTGGCGTCACCTGTAGCTGGCTCTGAAGGGAGCGTCTGGCCAGCAGGCTCTGAATGACGTTGGTACGGTCCAGACAGTCCATACAGTTACTGCGGAAGGTTCCAGACTGCTCGGATGTCACCTTCCCATCTGAGCTCACCATGAAATACCTGCAGAATCAGCGTTCAAGAACAAGATCAAAGTGAATCACTGACAGCATCGGAGACCACAGTCTTTCCTATAGAAAGGTACAGAAATGAATACAAACCCAAACTCGTCTTGCATGTCAGAAACAGCATCAACGAGAATCTGGAGGCGATGCCATCTCATCTTACTGCATTCTTTGTGAAAGTCAAAGGCGATGTACCTCAAAAGAGATGCAAGAGTCACTACACAGCACTATACGAGTAGAGGATAGAAACAAGTATTTTCAACATTGATAATAATAAAAGTTTCTTGAGTAATAATAAAACATTTCTTGATTTCTGAAGGATCATGTGACACTGAAGACTGGAGTAACGATGCTGAAAATTCAGCTTTGACATCACAGGAATAAATTACATTTTAAAACATAAAAATTTAAATAGAAAACAGTTATTTTAAATTGTAATATTTAACAATATTAATGTTTTTACTTTCTGATCAATTAAATGCTTTGGTGAAAGTAAGCCCACACATTTAAAGTCTGATCACTCTGATTATTTAGAAAAGTAACACCTCAATTTTCCTTAATAAGCTGCATGGTTTGAGGCATTAATTATGTCTGAAGCACAAATGGTGCTATGTGACGCACGTTAATTCTTAGTCTAAAAGGGATAGTTCACCCAAAAATGACAATTCTGTCATTAATTACTCACCTTCGTGTCGTTCCAAACCCATAAGACCTTTGTTCATCTTCTGAACACAAATAAAGGTATTTTTGATGAAATCTGAGAGCTTTCTGATGCTCCATAGACAGCAACACAACTACCACGTTCAAGGCCCAGAAAGGTAGTAAGGACATTATTAAAATAGTCCATGAAAATAAAAATAATGACTTTATTCAACAATTTCTTAATTTCAGTCTTCGACATGCCTTCATGGGAGTACCACGACGCATGCAAGTATTCTCATAGCTTTATTAAAATAAGGTTGAAGCACTGATGTCACATGGACTATTTTAACGATGTCCTTACCACCTTTCTGGGCCTTGAACGTGGTAGTTGTTTTGCTGTCTACGGCGGGTCAGAAAGCTCTCGGATTTCATCAAAAATACCTTTATTTGTGTTCAGAAGATGAACAAAGGTCTTACGGGTTTGGAACAACATGAGGGAGAGTAATTAATGACAGAATTTTTGGGTGAACTATCCCTATAAGTGTCTGTTCAAAGTATATTCCTAGAATGAGCAATAGTAATTGCCTTAGCAAACACCACTAAAAATGCATCTGTAGGAATTAAAAGAAACTGCTTGAAGTACTTGAGTCCGTCCTCCATGCCATTGACCATTTTGGCGAAGGCCTGTTCAAGAGGCAATTCAGATCCTTTCTGATTCACCTGCAGATAAAGCAATTATCAACTCTTTGACCACTCACCAATCACAATCAACTGAAATTTTCTGCAGGTGGATTAAAAGATTGTACTCACCAAATTTAGAATGACTTGTTTGCCATAAATGAGAACCTGTGACTCAAAATGCCTCCTGAATCCATCCATCTGCAAGGATAGATAGATAGAACGATAGATACTGTATTTTTCATATTCTGATAGTTGAAATAAAAAAAAATAAAAAAGAAACTAAAAAAAAGTTGCTGTAGCAGCATAAGTGGTCTTACATGATTGGTGTCAGTGCTTATCTGTGGCTTGGGCTTGTACTTCAGGTTGGGTCTTTGAGACCAGAAAAAGGGCATGGAGCCTCGAGTCTGTGTAAGAGGTAAGTGAAAGAGCACAAATGAAATCTCTGAGGTGAATTCTGGGAGGTCAAAACAAATCTTCTTGTAATAGAGGCCAACAGTAGTTTCCACCAACCTGCACAAAGGACGCCTGGGCATTATTGTACTGGACTATCTGTTCTGTCTCAACGAAGTTAGCAGCATGTCCTTCAGAGTCAATGCCTGAGGCGCAGGGGAAAACTGTAATATCTGCAGCAAAGATCACTGTGTGAATATGTATATATGCTTGAACACATCTCACCTCTGACATAATACCGGACCCCAGCTCTGAAACAGCTCCGTCTAGAGATGAGGATCCACTCAAACACCTTCCCATTGATGCAGCACGGCTTCATCACAATAACTGAAGCAGTGGGTTAAGCCTCAATATCACCCACATTTTCCAACTACTACTTATTTCTTCAATTTCACCCCAAGCAATTTACAGTGCAGATGTGTTTTTAGATTATGGACAACATTATCAACTAATCATGACCAGTTACATAATGCCATCTTTAACAAAAACAGTTCTGGGCAGTCAAGGCTAAATAAAGTGAGCAACTTAACTATGAACAACATGACATCTCTCAAAGGATACATCCGTGGATGACAGGAAATGCAAATTTATGGAGCTGAAAAGGGGAATCAGTGACTTAGTATGTGCAATTTTCTCATGTTTAATGGTTTCTAAATTAGGTTTATTTTTTATACCTCAGGCTGTGCGGTTATTTCTCTTAAAAGATTTCCATTCCACATGAATCTCTGGTCTGCCTGTGTGGAGAAATGATGGAAGACAGGAATCATTTGAGAAGTTATGGTTGTTTTGAAGGGTCTAATTCGCAAACATAGTAACCAAATGTACTCAGGAAGTTTGAACACTCTGAAGTTGAACTTTATGAAAAGGGATAGACAACTGCGAAATTACAGACTGTGTCAAAAGCCAGACTCAAATGCAGAGCACAAACTCTCTCTCTGAAAACACAAAAACAAAATATGAGAGAAATCACAGTGTGTGCCCACATGTCAGCAAGTGTGCTTGTAAAACAAGAGCTTTGCAAATCTAGCTTACATCTCCTGTGACGGCCCTTTATTGTAAACGAGGGATGCAGTTTGAGAAAATGAGCTGACCGGCCTTCTGTATGTGATACTGATGAAAACCTGCACCCTGCTGTGCTCTGCTTCTCTCTCTGCCACTGAAACTTCAAACAGCTCTGCCTGTCTCTTCTGCCATCATCATCATCCCTCAGTCTTTGCTCTGCTCACCCTCTCCAGCAGGCTCATCTCCTGGAAGTCCGGGCTGGTGTTGGACAGGCGCTGCTGGGTGTGGGTCAGGTCATAGTCCGTGCAGAAGTAGAAGCCGTCTGTGTTTAGGACATTGCTAAGCATAGACAGAAACGTCTTGTTGTCCTGCATCTGTGAGAAGGAAACAGTGAGCGAATAAGATTACTGGCAAAAAATGATGTGAAAAGAAAGAAGACTAGGATTATTGATTTAATTATTAATTTATTTGGGGCCTTTTCCGTTTTTATGGCATAAAAGTAAAGTGATGACAGGACAATAGAGAGAAGATGGAGAAATGCGATGAGGTAGGGTTGAGCAATATTACTTTGATATTAAAACCTGGCAGTCGATATTGATATATTTCACAATACATAGATTTTTATGAAAATGTGGCATTTTTAAAAATGTTTTATTAACTACTGAAAAAAGTCCCTCTGGCAGTGTCCAAATGATTGAAATAAAGGTATACATTTCATTAGAAAAAATAATAGTAATTTTATATTTGACTTGAAATTAGACTTTTCATATTTTCAATATATTTTATAACTACATACTATATATATATATATAAATATATATATATATAGCAGATGAAGATAAAGAAAATATGCAACAATAAAGTATTATCATCATCATCATCATTATACTGTGTAACAATAATATATTAATTTGATAACATTAATTATTTTAATATTAATATATTGTAATATTTATATTATTTAATTATTATTTTTTATTAATCATTATTCATACTGCTAATTATGCTACTAATAACAACAATACATTCATTTGATAACATTCATTATTTTAATATTTAAATAATTTTTAATTATAATTGTTTATTAATAATTATTAATACTACTAAAAATTATGCTACTAATAATAAACTATTTGTTTACATTAATAATATATTAATATTATTTAAAGATAATACAATTTTGGCTTTCTCTCTCTTTAAAAAAAAAAAAAACAAACACTTAAAATTTTATTTAAATTTATAATTGACAAATTTGGATTTCAATATTCTGAAAGCTGAATTTGTATCTCTCTCATGAGCACTTAATGTGTCTGTAGTGTAACTATCTGCTAAGCCATGATTTTGACAAAAGAGGTTTGACATGTGCAAAAAAAGCTGTTTAAAGTTGAAGTGCATATCATGTATTCAAAACAAGCATGTTCATGAGTTAATCTGCTCCAATGCATCACACAACACTCTTTACTTTAGTACAACTCATTCATTCTTCCTGAAAAAAAGCTTTGCTCCACGTGCAGGTGTCAAAACTAAGCTCTCAACCAATGCCAGGCCTTTCAATCTCAGCATATCCTTTCAGCAGTAACAGGATCACCATCCACTAAGCTCTGGCTCTGGGAATGACGTGGAACAGGAACGACCTGAATTGATTCCTCCTCCCAGAAGAACCTGGTCAGCAGAACCATTTGTCTTTGTACGCAAACTCGTCTCTCACTGCAGTTATTCCCTTCAGCTCAACTCAGAGCTTATAATTACATGCAATTCATTATGAAAATGTCACAATATTCAACACAAAAATGATGTAGACAACTCATGCAAGGAATCATCACCTTCTCAAAAAAGGTGTGGCACTTTCATCCAGGCCAGAAACATAGTTTATACAAGTATGCAAAAATTGCTGAGAATGCAAAACACACTTGCATTTTGTGATTAATTTGTTTTCTCACACATTCTGGAATGAAACTAACCAAGCTAGTGTAGCTAGATGCATTCACTGCAGACCTCATGCGCTTACATTGAACCTTCTGACAAGAGTAGAGATGTTTGGAGTGATTTAATGATCTAGTTGTTTGCAGTCAAGTCTCCCACGTACTTGTTTCAACTCGAAACACTTCCCATGTCCAATACTGGTCTACTCACAGGCTGCATCCAAGGCCATTTCAGCCGAAGTCTTATCCTCGCTAAATAATGCAGCAAGTATACAACACTGTAATGAGATATCGCTGCGCTCATAGCAATGGGATCAGATGAAAAATTTACTGTATGAGTACACCCAATTTCACAAGCCGAGGGCGAATCTGCTGCGTTGATCTTACAGCACTTCTGAGTAAACTGTAAATGGAAAAATTGTGAAAGGCAAAAAATTCAGAGCAGGAAACCTTTCGGTTATGATTTAGAGACGCACTGGGCAACTGATCAAACAACGAATGACATTTATAGCCCACTTTCTACTCAAGGTGTTACAAACATCAGCATTACACTGAAAGTTGAGGTTAGGGACTTTGATGACCTGAAAATCTGTGAGGTGCAAAATGGTCTTCTTATAAGAAATCACATCAAACTCCACCGCTTTCCACACAGTGTGGCCAAACAGGTCGCCCACTTTCCTTTTCCGGGTGATGACTATGAGGTACATCCCTGCAGAAGCAAAAAGAAAACATGCGTCAATGTAATCAAAAGTATATGTCATACAATCAATGTTCCGAATTCTATGGAAAAATCGGAACATCGTAATAACATAGAACCTACCAGCCACCAGGCGAGTAGTTCCCATGATTCCACAAATGGGCCTGGTTACGCCTGATGGGGGGATGTCCTTAATACCTTCAAGAGGAAAAAACATTAATGCACCATTCAAATCACAGGAAGCAATTTTGCAGATGGTGCATTTAATATACTTCTCTGCTTCGATAAGAGGAAGTAACAGACCTGTGCTGTGCTATTCCTGGAATACACCTTTAACAAAAGACCACAGCAACTACCTCAAACGTAAAATGTCACGTTGACAATACTGATGAAATGTCACTTAGCGAGGAGGTCACCATTAAAACAGACAAAGTCTACAAACACACTACAACGAAGTCCAAATAGCTGCCGTAACTTTTCATCGATGCCTGTATACTTTGAAAGGTCTGATTCCCTCATAAGTTGTAGCCGTTCATAAATGTCAGATCACAGCTGCCCAAACTAGAAATATTTCACTGTACTACCACAGGAGCACAAAATATATTTTAAATTAGCTGTTTAATTATTCTATTCCCTTTTAGTAACCATGTTACTGTCATTTGGGACATCATAAAACATAGTTTAAAGGGTTAGTTCACCCAAAAATTTAACATGCTGAACATAAATGTCCTTACTACATTTCTGGGCCTGGGAACATTTCGGTTGTGTTGCTGTCTATGCAGGGTTAGAGGACTCTCGGATTTCATCAGAAATATCTTAAATTGTGTTCCGAAGATGAAAGAAGGTCTTACAGGTTAGGCACGATATGAGGATGAGTAATTAATGACAGAATTAAAATTTTTGGGGGAACTAACCTTTTAAACATTGTAGTTTTGCAATAGACAATGAATAAACATTAGAATTAAACAGACAATTTTTATACACTACTGTTCAAAACTTTGGGGACGTTTTTGAAAGAAGTCTCTTAAGCTCACAAAGACTGCATTTATTTGATCAAAAACACAGTAAAAATATTAATACCGTGAAATATATTTACAATTAAAAATGACTGTTTTCTGTTTGAATATATGTTAAAATGTAATTTATTTCTGTGATGCATGGCTTCATTACTCCAGTCTTCAGTGTCACGTGATCCTTCAGAAATCATTCTGATATGCTGATTTGCTGCTCAAGACACATTTCTTATTATTATCAATGTTGAAAATGGTTGCACTGCTTCATATGCTTGTGAAAACTGAGATACATTTTTTTTCAGGACTCTTTGATAGTTCAAAAGAACAGCACTTATTTGATAAAGAAAGCTTTTGTAACGAAAGCATTTTTGTTTAAATGTCTTTACTGTCACTTTTGATCAATTTAATGTGTCCTTGCTGAGTGAAAGTATTACGTTCGTCAAAAATAACATCTTACTAACCTGTAATCTATTAGGCTATTTGCATTCAAGATGAAATGCAATACAACATATTTGAACTGGTTTTCATTCTTACAAGTAGTCAGACCGTACCTGCGAGGGTCATCTCGGCGGACACCCTATCAATAACCAGCACGTCATTAGCTCCATCATCACACGCCTCAATGTAGAACTTCTCAGGTGTTGCATGCCTATGAAGAAAAGCAAAAAAGAATGTTTTATTTTCAACAAATAAACCTAACTCTTTCTGATTAAACTGACCAGTAAGTCTATTCTGACACTTTTCTTACTGTGCTGCTAAACACACACTGGTTTTTCCAGTATAAAACAAGAGGTGAGGGTTTGGCTGGTTAGCATTTGACAGTTAGCTGCATTATGCAAGCAAATGCCTTTGAGATTATTGTGAATGTGATAAACAGCACTGAATACAGAAATTGCATATGCAATACAATCAGCTTTTGAGTGGTGATGATATCAATAAGACAAAACACTAACAGCGTCAGAAACATAATAGCTTGAAATTCATTTTCATCTCAGACCATCTGGAGAGAGCAGATTTTCAGCAACGACATAAATCACAATTACTTTTCAGTTTCGGTCGTGCATATTTTTAAGTAAAGTTTAGAGAAAATTACAGATAGACATTGTCTTATAATGCAAGTTTCCACAATGTGAGGAGTTTGAGAGTCTGTTTCAGTAACAACATTGTACATGCTAGTCCCACTTTAATGGCTGGAGTCTTCCTTCCTTACCAAAATGCTGAGCAGCCACTTTCTGTGCACCACTTGATGAGTTTGCAACGAGGGAAGGATGCAGCGTTTGCATGCTTAACCTCTGGCCCATTAACCATGATTGCATAATAGGTCTACGGAATCTATCTCAAAATTTTTAAATTGACTTGTTGGCTCACACAGTTTGGTTTCATGACACGTAGATGCAACTCCTAATCTCAGAGCCTTTTGATCAGGTCACGCAAGCAAAAACAACACAGATGTTCAACTTTACCCTGCAATTTTGTTTTGTATTGTTGCTATAGTGGTGGCTAATTCGCATCCCTTATAGTTCTGTGTCTAGTGTCTGTATATGACAAATCACAGGCATTATGAATTATGTGCACCATCTCAGCAAACACACTGCGGTGCAAGGGTTTCTGGCTTATTATAAACTATGTCATTATAGACAAGCCTTTCTCAGCTGTAATACCACTGTTTATTGTGCAAGAGGCCATTCATAAAACTGAAGGGCTTACTGTATTCTCTAAAAAAAATTACAAAAGAGGCTAATTACATAATGAAAGCAAGATACAAACGATCATTTATAATTTGGTATTTAGTAAGCAAAATAGTGAATCTCAAAAAGACTAACATAAAAAAAGAATTAGGCCAAAAAAAATTAATAAATAATTCTTATTAAATAAGAAAAAACTACATTTTTAGAACAATATTTTTTGCATTGTGACTTCATTATGATAAGCATCATTTATTATTACTGTAATGTAAAAAAATAACTAATTCTAAAAGTAATTAAAAAGGTACATTATTAAAATTGTGAAACATGAAAACAAATATGCATCATAGTATTTATTATTGTAGGTTTTTTTTAAAGTGAAAAGACTCTGAGAGGCCAAATGATGTTAGTTTCTGACATACCGATTAAAAAAGAAAAAGAAAAAGTGATACGCCAAAATATCAGCAACCAAAAATATTCAGCAGAAATATGAATAAACATCTGGTTGAAGTCACATTTTCCTTGAGAAAGCCATTCAATGTCCAGAAACTCATCAGCTAGCTAGAGAAAAATAATTCTAGAGAGGAGCATTTTTCTAAATATATACACTATGTTACATATTCATTCTATTTTTACTTAACCTGTTAGTAAGTCTAAATATGTGTTTTTAAATACAGTGTCACTGTTTAAATGTTTAACTACAACAATAAATGAATATATCATTAAAAGTCAGCACAAAAACGTACATGCAATCTAATTTTTTATATACACCTCCGTCTTTATTTGAGGGTTGATTATTAAATAAATTTGAACAACTAATTGATTAATAAGTGAACTTCAGTTTCCATTTTAGGCTAAAAAAATAGTTTTGGTGCATCACTAGTGTGTCAAACATTCTTTTCCTTCCATTCAGTTGTCACGATAATTAATGTCAGTGCAAAACAATCTAGGTTCTCAGAACTACTGTACATGTTCAAGTCAGTGACTCAGAAAGCACACCACTGTAACTCATATTAGTATCGGAGCGTCTGATAACTCAGTATCATGTTGATGTAAGGTGTGGGCTGGAGACATTCCATCAGGTTCCCCTCCCTCTGGTTCAACTACAGTTTCACAATTTGTCAAATAATCAGATATTAATATACTCATATACTCTAATATACTCATATACTCTAGCATTCTTTTTAAACATACATAGCTGAACAAATATTTGACTAAATATAATATCGGCACTGTTTAACATCATCTTTACACTGATGCCCCTACAAAACTGCAGCACTGACTCAGTGTGCTTCAGCTGACCTCAGCATCCTAATGCATGGTCCAAATAAACACCCTAGTCCACTACTTATTAAATATGAGAACAGATGCTGTCCAGACTCAAATCAGAGCATCATAACCTAAACCCAGTGAGCTGCATAGACAGCACATGGTGCGTTTTGTTGTCGTAATGCAGTATGAAGATTCTGCTCTCGCGTTTAAATGCTGTCTAGATGTGCAGCTCGCTGGGTTTTGAAACATAGCCAATCTGAACAGTGTCTGAACGGCTTAAGCCAGTGCAGCTTCCACCACAACATAATCTGCCCTGTACTGGCAACAAGCCTTCTGACAGCGCCCACAGACGCTGCCATTAAAAGAGCTGAGCTTCATTAAAGCGAAACTGGGCGCCGTACGTGTTTCTATCTGTTGCTGCGCTCGAATAAAAGTTTGAACTTACAGGTTGAACCTCTCGTAGGCGGACGCCATCTTCACTTCCGGGTTTGGTCAGTCTGCGTGACGTATATGTGGGCGTGGCGATTGGAAGGTGCGGCTTCCGGGTGAGACGTCACAGTGGCGCAGGTTGCCGCATTCATAGACATAATAAATATTTATTATGTCTATGATAGGGTGCCATTTTCCCAGGAGCGTCCTGGCCAGGATTTCTATATTGCCTAAAATATCTAGGTTTTGGCTTTGT